AATTTTCCAAATACCCCCATAAGTTGAGATATATGTCAAGATGTCCCTAAAAGATATGGGCACAGTGGAATGGCCTTTTGGGCTGACATGTTTGTGTTATGCCCCTGTCAGGTGGGTGGGCAAATTCGCTTGGCGGCCTTGGCTTTTTGCAAAGTTGGTCAACGTCCGGTACGGGTACATTGCAAAGATGGGGTCCAACTGATGGCTGGGGTGTTTCGCAAAATGTTTTTGTCATCGTCCTTCGCTGCGGTGGGTCCACTTGTTCTAAGCTTAAAAAAAAAAAAAAAAAATGGAAATCACTGCGCAAGCACCCACGCAAATCACTGTCCGAGATTCCTGCAAGGTCGGAGAAAATAGAAAATGCAGCTCTTTTCATCTCTTTTCCGAGAATTTCAAGTTTGGGTTTGTTCTGCTGTTATTTGCTGTGTTTTCTAAGTGTGCATGTGAGCTATCATTAACATGCATGTACTGTGTGCCCCGCCTGAGTCCAAGTTTGGGTCCGTGTGGTAACTCTGTTGCCCGTGTGTGTGTGGCTGTGCCTCGGACAGGGACAAGGTAGTAAGAGGGAGACGGTCAGCGGCATTACTGAAAGTTAGCGGTAGGACATATTTGGGGTTGTGTAGCGCCCAGGGACACGAGTTGTGGCATACTGTGTAGCCACACGGGCCTGCAGGGCCCGTTCCGCATTCTCAGCCTAAAAGCCTACAAATAAGGGCTTACAGGCCCCATGTCGTTTCAGCCTGAAAACTGAAAACTGAAAACGAGGGCCTGCAGGCCCTATTTCGTTTTCAGCCTATAACAGGGCGGTTCAGGCCCTGAGTCTTTTCAGCCTGAAACGGAGGGCCACTTTCGGGCCCTCATAAGATCGTCCTGCCCTAGAACTCAGGCAACAAACCAGGGTTTTGGGAACAGGCTATTTTTGGCCTGTTCCCCACGCCAGCCTCAGCAGGAGCTGCAGCGCCAGCCCCTGGCTTGCCCTGGCATTGGCAAGAGCAGCCTCCTGGACTGCCTCGCCCTGCAGACTGCAGGCAGTCAGGAGGCAGGCCGAGTAGTACATAGGGAGTTCCCATGCACTTCACGGGTAGGTAGTTGGACAGAAGGCAGGAGGCAGTTTTTTCAGGATTCGGCCGCAGCACTCTGGAGGAGCGCTGCAGGAGTAGATTAGCGCTAGCAGTAGTCTTCAGCGCTGGGCGCTAGTAGCTGCAGGAGTAGTCTTCAGCACAGGGCGCTAAGTAGTGGTAGTGGTAGTAGTGTGGGAGAGAGATGGCTGGCGGAGGCCAGCGAGACTTACCTGTGGCGCCATAACTCCAGCTCCATCTTCGAGGTACCTGTGCAATTACTTGCTGATTTCTACTCCCGAGATTGACTGCGAGGCTGTACACTAACCGGTAGGGTTAGATTCGTAATTTTGTTTGGCTGAGGGCTAACCGAGAGACCTGCCTGTAGGGAAATTCGTGAGGGACATATCTGCAATTCTGGGAAAATATAGGCCCAGCACTAACCCGAATTCCTACAGCTACCCTAACTGCGTATAGCAGGCCCGGGCTACCCCTAGGACAGACAGTCCCTAAGCGGCCTATGCTGATAGACGGTCCTATAGCCTATAGCCGGGTCCGGTAGAGGCCGAGAGGCCGAAACAGCAACGGTACCGGTCGGTCAGTCAGTCCGGTCTAGGTCTAGCGTAGTCTATAGATAGGTTAGGCCCATCGGTTCAGGACTTTTTTGGCAGTTCATTTCTCGCGAAGCAGCGTTGGAGAAGCCAAGCAAGTTGGTGGCGGTGATGGTCTACAGGCGACATCCTGAGACTCGCCGTTGACAGCAGCCATAGCCGGCCCAGTCTGAGTCTGCCATAGCTGGGGCATCCTCAGCGCATCTACCCCTGGGGGTATCTGCGTCTGGTCGGG